CCGCTCCTCGCTTCAGCGGCTGCTCCTGCCTCGTCGGGCAGTGCTGGGCGAGGGGTAGCGGAAAGGCACTTCTGTTCTGCCCCACGCAGGGGACAGACACGTTTTTAACGTGGTGCCGAGGTCCCAGCTCCGCCCCAGGGGCCGGTGCACGGCCCCGGCGGCACCAAAACGCTCCAGCTGGCCCGTCCAGAGGCCGTGCTGGGCTTCCTGCAGCCGCGCTCAGCTGGGAACGAAGGGACCGCTGCCCTCCCCTTCCAGCTCCACGGGGACGCTCCCGGCAGCTTCAAGGGGAGAAGGACCAGGCTCAAAGTATTTCTGATTAGTAAAAAACACTCTGACCCAGGTAGGAAAATTCTACAGTCAGAGCATTGGAAATGCCAAGTAACTGATCTGTGTCATAGGGAATCAATCACTCATTGCTCACTCTTAATACAAGCATTTCTAGGGAGGAGGAGTAGTGTTAATTCTTTTTTTCCAGCGACTGGTAGTACTCGGTTAGGACTTTCCAAGCTCTGGGGGCCATGAAGCCGTCTGGTGGGTTTTCACCTTCACGAGCAAGCTTCCTCATGCGTGTTCCCGAGATGAAGTCAAAATCGTTGTGCCTGCGCAAAACAGAGACGGGGGTGAAATCAGCAGAACCGGCCCGAGTCGTCCCCAGGGCAGCTCCTCTGCCGTGCCAAGCACCGGGTCGGAAACCTCCCGGCACTGGTGGCACCTGTCTGCAGGTTCACGCCCGGGTTTACGATCGGCAGCAATGGGGTTCCTCTTTCGAGAGGAGCTGGAGTTGTACGTAAGACACTTCCCCAGCTGCAAGAGGTTGTACTTCTCCTGCCACTCAGCCCCCAAACTGTGGTTCTTGTCCTCCCTGGAGGCTACTGTGGCGCATCTTTAGTTTCATGTGCCCCATCCTTGACCTGGTGTCAGCTCTTGGAGGGGAAAGCGGGTGGCTTTGCAGGTTCTTCCCCCATTCCTCTCCTTAAGAGGAACAACGACTGCTTTTCCTTCTCCCCTGGCAAGCTACAAGCCAGACAGGATCACAAACCGCATGCGCTTGTGTAGGCTGAGGAAACGGCGATGCTGCTGCCTGCGTTACCTTTTTGGGTCATAAAAATCCATGGCCCTTTTCAGTTTATTGTAAGCAGCCACCCGGAAGGGGATGATTTCCACCGAGGTCAGGCCCGGCGCCATGCTGAGGACCTTCCCTCCCTGCGTGGGCTCGTAGAGGTCCTTCTTGGTCTCAGGGTGAGGCATGCCTGCAGGGTCGCGCCCCACAATGTAGAAATTGGCCCCGGCAATCATGCGAGCTCGGCAGTGCCACTGCACCTGCAAAGGAGAGGCACAAGGACGTTGGCTGAGGGCTGAGCAGCAACTGAGCCACCTGCCCTGGGCCGCAAAAGAGATCCTGGCGATCCGCGCGCAGGAAGGAAGGAAGGAAGGAAGGAAGGAAGGAGAGGCGTCAGCAGCCTTGCTGCAGTTTCTCATGGCGATCAGGCCACCCAGACTCATCTCCCGCTGCTTGGACCTGACGCAACGTCACAGTTCTCTTAAGGACACCTATTTCAAGGGAAACGCTGGGGATGGGAATTGGTCTTGTTCCATTTTGGCAGCAAATGGAGGTAGCGGTTTGCTTTTTGAACATGCAGAGACAGGGCCCACCAGCCCTTGAGCCCAGCACATCCCTCTCCTTCCTCCTTCAGGGGAGGTTCAGCATCTACCGCTTTCTTTCCACCAATTTAGGGACAGAAGGGAAACCACTGGGAGAAAACAAATGAGCATCCCTGCCTCACACAGAAAAAGGTCGCAGTGAGAAGCCTGTTTGCAGCCCCCTTCTCCCCAGCTCTCCACACAGACTGTGAAAGCGTGGGAGCCCACGGAGCCGAGCTCTGCTGGGAGAC